CTAATAGTACGAATGCTAATCATAGCACTAATACTCATAATGCTAATAACATCAATAATAATATCAATACTTCTAACAAGAATACGAATGATAATATGAGTTATGATTATTGTAATAACTACAGTAGTAGTAATAGTACTAATAGTACGCGTATTCAGAATACTAGCAATAATCAGATTACTAATACTACTGCCAATAATAATCTCACTACTAACAATACTACCAATAATAAAAAACATGATGATAGTAATAATACAAATCGTAATGGTAATGCTAATGATGTTGATGTGAAAATAATAGTGACAACACCAACCTATTCATCATATTACTCATACTATGCATAATAATATCAACACTAATAACGATAGTACTACTACTAACAATAATAATGGTACTAATAATAAAACAATAAGAAGGATGACGCTAATAATAACAACGCTACTAATACCTATACGAAGAATAATACTAATACTGTGAAGAAGACTAAGCATACTATTACGGATACTATTAATAATGATATTAATACACTAATACTACTACTAATAATAATAATACTAATACTAATACTAATAGTAGTAATAACAATAACACTAAGACTAATACTAATAACACTAATAATGCTAACATTCACACTGAGATGATACTACTAATCATGATAAGAATTCTGACATTAATACTAATACTAATAACAACAATGCTAATAATGATACCACTACGATTAATCATACTACTAGCATTACTACCACTACTAAGAATACTACTAATGCTACTAATAATAATACTACTACTACTAATAATACTACTACTACTAATAATAATACTAATAATATTATTAATAATAATAAGACTAATATTAATAATGATAATACTAATACTAATACCAGTAATACTACTACTCATAGTAATAATAATATTAAGAATAATATTCATACTAACGATACTATTAAGAATACTAATCATAATAGACATAAGAAGGACACAAACGGGAGGAGGAGGTGGAGGAGGAGGAGGAGGACGAAGAGGAGGAGGAGGAGGAGGAGGAGGAGGAGGAGGAGGAGGAAGTCGCACCATACGGGGGCGCCCCCCCGCTCTCGGGGCGGGCCCCTCCGCGGCGGAGGGCCGCGCGCGCCAGCCTGCGTTGCGCCGCACGGCAGGTCGCGACGGCGGACGCGATGTCTGCATTTACGAGCCAGCTGATTCGCGTCAACAGGGTGGACGACCGCGCCCACTTTCTACCGCGCCGCGGCGTGAGACCGCTTCGCAGCGCTGCGAGGCGGCTTGCGCTCGCAGCCTGGAGACGGCAGCCGCCGCGGTGCAGTGACGCCAGTTGCCTCTTGACTGCGACGGCAACCCACGCTGACGCTGGACCCCGCGAGAGGAGCGCCAGCCTCGCCTATTGCAGCTCCTGCGACCTCCACAACTTCAGCGACGGGGCCGCGCTGAAAACCGAGGAGATCCAGACGCCTCTGCAAACAAAGACACCTTTGGCTCCAGAAGCTGGCGCCTCCGCCAACGCCGACGCCAGCACCGATGCTGACTGCATCGTATTCAACCAGAAGCACATTGTCATCCAGGTCTCGACCTCGCATCCCGAACCGCCCCGCTTTTCGGCGCCCGTTGTCAAACCTGCTGTGGCATGCCCACGGCAGGCGTACCTTCGGGCAGCAGCCTCCCGGTGCTTCCAGGACGCCGTGTTGCGACAAGAACCACTTCGCCCCGATCACCGCCGGCGCCGCGGCCAGGAGGCCGAGAGTGGCCCAGAGAACGAGCGCGACGATTCAGATGATGGCCACGTGGGTCCAGACCATCTGCATGCAGACCACCAACTCGGGGTCCCAGATCAGGCCGGGGAGGGGGATGACGAGCAGGAGGCGGAGGAGGCGGATGATTCGGACCCCGTTGCGGAGGTGGCGGAGGAGTCCCAGGATGGAGATTTGGTGGCGAGGATGGGCGGGGTGTCGGCAGCGGCTGTGGCGTCGGCGTCGGGAGGGGGCCGCGTCGGCGGCGGCTGGGGTGGCGGCGGCAGGGGGGGGGCATGGTGGCGGAGCCGGCATTTGGCGGCGGCGGAGGGGAACACGTCGGCGGTGACGGCTGGGGCGGGGGCGAAACGGGCAGGGGCGCCACGCGCGCTGACGCTGTCAATTAGGCAGGCGCCGACGCCGGCATCGACGCCAGCACCGACGCCCGCGCACTTCAGCGCCGACGCCCGCGCAGACGCCAGCGCCGCCCAAGCCGGCGTCGTCGCAAGCACCCGCGCCCGCAATGACCCCCGCGCCGAAGCCAGCCCTCGCGACAGCGTCGACGTCAGCACCGACGCCAGCATTATCGCCAATGCCGAACCCCACGCCGTCGCCTACTTTGACTACAGTGCGTGCATCAGCCTCGGCGCCAGTGTCCGCGCCAGCGTCGAAGACAGCATCGGTCCCAGTATCGATTTCAGCATCGACGCCAGCACCGACGCGAGCACTGCCACCAGCATCAACGTCAGCATCGACGCCAGGGTCGACCACGGCATCGGCGCCCGCATCGACAGAATCACCAATCACGCAATCACCGCAGGAAATACCCACCCCAATCGCGAAGCTGGCGTCGACGTCAGGACTCACCTCCGCATCGACGACGACACAAACGCTCAAATCGACCCCAGAATCGACATCAGCACCAATCGACGGGCGAAGAACGGTATAACATAAATTCGCCGTCGGGGACACCTGCCCCAGGGCGGCTGGAAAGTTTATACCCTTACGGTGGCACCGTAGGGGTATAAACTTTCCAGCCGCCCAGGGGCAGGTGTCCCCGACGGCGAAAAAGTTTATTTTATAACGTTCTTCGCTCGCTGAACCAAAGACAGCGTCGACTCCAGCACTGGATCATACATCGACACCCGAACCGACGGCAGGATGGACCCCCGCGTCGACGCCGGCGAAGCGACTCCAGCATCGATGCGGGCATCGAAGCGCGCATCGAGGACAGTAGCCACTCCAGCACCAAAACTTGCTTTCGCGCCAGAATCGGCACCACCGCCGACCCCAGCAGCGAATGAAGCCCTCGCGACAGCTTCGACGCCAGCATCGACGCCAGTTTCAAAATATTACGAACACTTTTCATACTATTCATTAAACTGATACTAATAATACTCACATGGTGAATCATACTGAGAACAGTAATACTAAAACTACAACTCTTAATGCTAATATCACGAATTACATTTACAATAGTAGTAATAAGGAGAATACGCATAATCATTTTGAATGGTTCTACGGAGACGAACAAGACATATACTATTAATAGTAGTGCTACTAATAATACTCATGATTTTTCAATGCTAAATATACTACCCGCAGTACTGATAGTAGTAATACTAATACTAATACTTAGAAAAGTATACTCATTCTAGTAAGACGACTGCTAATCACACTAGTAATACTGGTAATAAAAACAGCACTAATAATCATAATACTCATAATATTCAGCATCATAATACTAATAACACTATGAGTAATACTAGTACTGATACTTCGGATAATACTAGTACTGACAGTAGTACTACTAAGAATAATCAGAAGAGGAAGAGGAGGAGGAGGAGGAGGAGGAGGAGGATGAGGAGGAGGAAAAGGAGGAGGAAAGGGGGAGGAGGAGGAGGAAGAAGGAGGAAGAGGAGGAGGAAGATGAGGCGGATAAGGAGGAGGAGGAGGAGGAGGAGGAAGAGGAGGAGGAGAGGAGGTGGATAAAGAGGAGGAGGAAGAGGGGAGGAGGAGGAAGAGGAGGAGGAGGAGGAGGAGGAGGAGTATGAGGAGGAGGAGGAGGAGGAGGAGGAGGAGGAGGAGGAGGAGGGGGGCGGACGGACCCTGGAGGTGTCCCCTCCGCAGCTGCTCCGAGCGACGATGCGCGCCCGCCCGACGCCCTCGCAGCGCGTGCTGGCCACCCTGAAGCACTTCTGCCAGCTGCCCGTGCGGCTCGCCCTCTGCAGGGCGCGAGGCGACCCCTCCCCTCTCCCTGTCGCCCCTGGCGTCCAGAGGTGCCTTCTGTCCCACACCCCCAGGGTCATGGACAAATCACGGTGGGAGTTTTCTTTTGTTTTGCCTGCTCCTGTAATCTTCGACCTCTAGGAGCCCCCGCGGGGCCCTGGGACTGCCAAGCATGGGTCAGGACGAAAAGCCGTTCCCGGGGAATGATCCGACACATGTGTGGGGGTCAAGACGTTACGAAGAAAACATGATGTCGGGGGCCTGGGTCTCCTCGGCGGGAGGTGGGTCCGAAAGACGTCCGAGCCGTCGCCGCCACCGTCGTCGTCGTCGTCGCCGCTGTCGTCGTCGTCGGTGTCGTCGTCGTCGCCATCGTTGTCGTCGTCGTCGCCGTCGCCGTCGCCGTGGCCGTCGCCGTCACCGTCGCGGTCGCCGTCGCCGTCGCCGTCGCGGTCGCCGTCGCCGTCGCCGTCGCCGTTGCCGTCGGTCGTCGTTACCGCCACCGTCGTCGATCGCCGTCGCCGTCGCCGTCGCCGTCGTCGTCGTCGTCGTCGTCGTCGTCGTCGTCGCTATCGCCGTCGCCGTCGTCGTCGTCTTAGTCGTCGTCGCCGTCGTTGCCGCCGTCGTCGTTGTCGTCGTCGTCGTCGTCGTCGTCGTCGTCGTCGTCACCGTCGTCGCCGCCATCGTCGTCGTCGTCGTCGCCGTCGTCGTGGTGTTTGGCGCCGTTGCCGTCCTGGACGAGTCCTGCTGCGCCCGCGCGTGTCGTGGCCCGGCCAGCCCCCGCAGGCGACGCGCCCCCGTCGCCGGGGCCCGACGGCGACCTCGCGGGCGCGCGGGGACCTGGCGGTGCCCCAGGCGGCGCCCTCGGGCGGCCGTTGCTCGCCGCCGCCGCTGCCGCCGCTGCCGCCGTCGTCATCGTGTGTCGCGCACCTCGGGTTCGAGGTGTTTTCGGGCGTCTTCGTCGGTTCCTGGCTGTTTTCCAGCCTCGGGATGCCTTCCAGCAACTGCGCCCCGCCGAGAACGGCCGCTGGGGAGCCGAGTTGTTGCCCGAAAGCCAGGAGGCACCATTGGCCGGGGATGTGCCCGGGGGGATGCATCGACCCTGAATCGCCCACTCATTCCTGATATGCCGATGTATCGGCGATGTATCGCCGAATGCTCCCCCCTGAGATGGCCCCCCCTATCGTTGCCCCCCCGGCAAAGGCGGCGGCGAGGGGGCAGGGGGAGTGGGGTTGGCGGCGCGCAAGAGGTCAGGTGGGCCCAGGAAGAGGGCGAGTTGTGTCAGAGCGATGCGGCAGGCTCACACGGCGTTGCAGAAGGCTTCAGGACGGCCGCGGCGCCCGATGCATCCTCCAGTGCTGCCAGTTCTCAGAGATCGGAGGTTGGGGGGTGAGATCGCAGTGGAACGGAGACCCCCGACCAGGAAATCGTTTCGTTTCGTTCGTGTCGTGCGTGCGGGCGAGGCGAAGCTGCGTGGGCGCGCGAGAGGAATGAACTCGCCGTTGCTAGGGCAAAGTCAAGAAAAATGATTCTCCCCCGTTCGTCCGCCCGTCCTGCGGTGGCCCTAGCGGTGTTCCGCGGTGTCCCGTGATGTCCCGTGGTGTCCCGTGGTGTCCGCCGCTGTTAGGGCGAAGTCAAGACACATGATTCTTCCCCGTCCGTCCGTCCGTCCGGCGGTGGCCCGCGGTGTCCCGCGGTGTCCCGTGGTGTTCCGTGGTGTCCCGTGGTGTCCGCCGTTGCTAGGGCGAAGTCGAGACAAATGATTTTCCCCTGCCCGCCCGTCCGGCGGTGGCTCGCGGTGTCCCGCGGTGTCCCGTGGTGTCCCGTGGTGTCCCGTGGTGTCCGCCGCTGTTAGGGCGAAGTCAAGACAAATGATTTTCCCCCGCCCGCCCGTCCGTCCGCCCGTCCGGCGGTGGCTCGCGGTGTCCCGCGGTGTCCCGTGGTGTCCTTTGGTGTCCCGTGGTGTCCCGTTGAGTGAGATCGATAGTGGGATCGATAGTGAGATCGATAGTGAGATCGATACTGAGATCGATGCGGTGCCCCGAGGTGTCCCGTGGTGTCCCGTGGTGTCCCGTGGTATCCCAAAAAGTGGGATCGATAGTGAGATCGATAGTGAGATCGACAGGCGTCCCGTGGTGTCCTGTGGTGTCCCGTGGTGTCCCGTTAAGTGAGATCGGTAGTGAGATCGATGTGGTGCCCCGAGGTGTCCCGTGGTGTCCCGTTGAGTGAGATCGATAGCGAGATCGATAGTGAGATCGACAGGTGTCCCGTGGTGTCCTGTGTTGTCCCGTGATGTCCCGTTGAGTGAGATGGATAGTGAGATCGATAGTGAGATCGATTTGGTGCCCCGAGGTGTCCCGCGGTGTCCCGTGGTGTCCCGTGGTGGCCCGTGGTGTCCCGTGGTGTCCCGTTTAGTGAGATCGATAGTGAGATCGATAGTGAGATCAACAAGTGTCCCGTGGTGTTCCGTGGTGTCCCGTGGTGTCCCGTGGTGTCCCGTGGTGTCCCGTGGTGTCCCGTGGTGTCCCGTGGTGTCCTGTTGAGTGAGATCGATAGTGAGATCGATTGAGTCAGATGTTGGTTCCCCCCCCTCTCCACCCCCCCCACAATCTCCTTATCACCCGAAGGGTGGTCGTATAGGTACCTGATTATCTCGTCCAGGCTTGTCTTCTGCCTGCCGTCGTCGGAAAGAGAGGTCAGGGAGTCGGGGGCGGTCTTCCGAGAAGGTAGCCCGCCTCCTCGAAGCTATCCTGCCTGCAAGAGTCCCCCCCAGAAGCCTCTGCGAAGGGGCCGGTCCGATCCCTTCTAATAAGCCCCTTGCCCTCTTCGAAGGCCATTTTACCAGTCTGGAACATATCCCTATCCCTATGCTGGGCACCTCCTCATCACGATGCCAATCTTAGGGATTCCCTCATTTTTGAGGGCGAATCCCTAAGATTGTCATCGCCTTTTGGCGTGTCAATCTTAGGGATAGGGATACGTTCGAGGCTGGTTACCATTCTCCCGCGCCCCAACCTTCCGCGCGTCGCCAGGGGTGGGGCGGGGGCTCCCGAGCCCCAGCGTCGCGAGAAAGTCACCACGGCCGTGCTTTCACGATCTCGGCTCCCAGGGGAAGTGTCTGGGCCCTGGTCCGCCTCCATCAGGAGGGGAAAAACACACACAGACACAATTATTCGTCGATTCCCAGAACATATGCGAAAATATGGGAAGTGGGGGGGAAGACAGAAACCCAGAAAACATGCGAAAATATTGGGAATCTTTTTATTTGTGTGTATTTATGTGTGTGTCCTGGGGCCCCTTCACTCCACACTGCAGCGGAGCGCGGCGGAGGCCCGAAGTGGGCCTCGCCCGCGTGTTCGGCGCCAAGCGTGCACCTGTCGCCTCTTCCTGGCGCTGCCTTCCTGCGGCCCCTGGGCGTCCAGCGGAGTGCTGCTTCACGCAGGCCAAAAGTTCGGGGGTGGACAGACCTCCTACCCTGACACGTCGATTAGTGAATTGGCCGTTTTCGGTTCGCGAGGGCGTCGCGGCCGTCATTTTGCGGGTCTAGGTCCGTCGGTTTCGGTCCCAGGCCGTTTTCCCTAAAGGGAGGTTTACCAAAGGGAGGTTTGTCCACCGCCGAAAAGTAGATCCCGCCGCCAGCCCCCCAAAATCAAACCTGTTCCTCCCCCCGTCCTCTGCAGCCTTTTGTTGGCCCGAGTTTTTTTTTTGTTTTTATTTTTTTTAAGGTCGGGCGTTCAGCCCACATCTTCCCGTTGAATTCGAAGCCCCCTCGTTCAAACACCACAAGACAATGGCGCACTCCGGCATCGCCGCGCTCGTGGCCGCCTTCGCCGCTGGCCTGGTGGCCTGCCAGCTGGGCAGCGCCTTCGTGGCGGCGCCTCTCGGCCGGCGTGGGCTTGATGGCCACATGGAGCCGGCCCCAGTTTCCGCGGCTTTCGGCGCGGCGCCCGCCTCTCCGGCGGCGGCGCCCGTCGGAGTCGGCCTGACAATGATCGGGGCGTCCGTGGCCCTCGTCCTGCTCGCCAGGGGTGCGCTGTCCAGCGCTGGCAGGGAGGCGCGCGCGCAGGGCCCCGCGCAGCACCGGGTTGTCATGGCGGCGTTCGAGAGCGAGCTGGGCGTGCAGGACCCCGTGGGCTTCTGGGATCCCGCTGGCTTCACTGCGGATGGTAGCACGGAGAACTTCGCCCGGAGGCGCCAGACAGAGCTGAAGCACGGCCGCGTGTCTATGCTGGCGACGATGGGCTACATCACCCCAGAGATCACCGGCAAGCTGCCAGGGTACTTGTCGCCGTCCGCTGGCCTGAAGTTCGCGGACATCCCGAATGGGCTCGGGGCGATCTCCAAGGTTCCCGCGGCGGGCTGGGCGCAGATCGTGGCGTACGGCGCGTTCTGCGAGCTGTCCCAGGACCAGTCCGCTGGCACCGCTGCCGCCGCAGGCGACTTCGGCTTCAAGGTGCTGACGTCCAGCGACGCCGGGGAGAAGCAGAAGAAGTTGGCGGCTGAGATCGCCAACGGTCGTCTGGCCATGATGGCGATCATCGGAATGTTTTTCCAGGACGGCTTGACTGGCTCCGCGTGGGGCGACTGGGCGCTCTACACGGGCTCCGCTGCGCGCGTTCGAGAGCGAGCTGGGCGTGCAGGACCCCGTGGGCTTCTGGGATCCCGCTGGCTTCACTGCGGATGGTAGCACGGAGAACTTCGCCCGGAGGCGCCAGACAGAGCTGAAGCACGGCCGCGTGTCTATGCTGGCGACGATGGGCTACATCACCCCAGAGATCACTGGCAAGCTGCCAGGGTACTGTCGCCGTCCGCGGGCCTGAAGTTCGCGGACATCCCGAACGGGCTCGGTGCGATCTCCAAGGTTCCCGCGGCGGGCTGGGCGCAGATCGTGGCGTACGGCGCGTTCTGCGAGCTGTCCCAGGACCAGTCCGCTGGCACCGCTGCCGCGGCGGGCGACTTCGGCTTCAAGGTGCTGACGTCCAGCGACGCCGGGAGAAGCAGAAGAAGTTGGCGGCTGAGATCGCCAACGGTCGTCTGGCCATGATGGCGATCATCGGAATGTTTTTCCAGGACGGCTTGACTGGCTCTGCGTGGGGCGACTGGGCGCTCTACACGGGCTCTCCGCTGCGCGCGTTCGAGAGCGAGCTGGGCGTGCAGGACCCCGTGGGCTTCTGGGATCCCGCTGGCTTCACTGCGGATGGTAGCACGGAGAACTTCGCCCGGAGGCGCCAGACAGAGCTGAAGCACGGCCGCGTGTCTATGCTGGCGACGATGGGCTACATCACCCCAGAGATCACCGGCAAGCTGCCAGGGTACTGTCGCCGTCCGCTGGCCTGAAGTTCGCGGACATCCCGAACGGGCTCGGGGCGATCTCCAAGGTTCCCGCGGCGGGCTGGGCGCAGATCGTGGCGTACGGCGCGTTCTGCGAGCTGTCCCAGGACCAGTCCGCTGGCACCGCTGCCGCGCAGGCGACTTCGGCTTCAAGGTGCTGACGTCCAGCGACGCTGGGGAGAAGCAGAAGAAGTTGGCGGCTGAGATCGCCAACGGTCGTCTGGCCATGATGGCGATCATCGGAATGTTTTTCCAGGACGGCTTGACTGGGTCCGCGTGGGGCGACTGGGCGCTCTACACGGGCTCTCCGCTGCGCGCGTTCGAGAGCGAGCTGGGCGTGCAGGACCCCGTGGGCTTCTGGGATCCCGCTGGCTTCACTGCGGATGGTAGCACGGAGAACTTTGCCCGGAGGCGCCAGACAGAGCTGAAGCACGGCCGCGTGTCTATGCTGGCGACGATGGGCTACATCACCCCAGAGATCACCGGCAAGCTGCCAGGGTACCTGTCGCCGTCCGCTGGCCTGAAGTTCGCGGACATCCCGAATGGGCTCGGGGCGATCTCCAAGGTTCCCGCGGCGGGCTGGGCGCAGATCGTGGCGTACGGCGCGTTCTGCGAGCTGTCCCAGGACCAGTCCGCTGGCACCGCTGCCGCCGCAGGCGACTTCGGCTTCAAGGTGCTGACGTCCAGCGACGCCGGGGAGAAGCAGAAGAAGTTGGCGGCTGAGATCGCCAACGGTCGTCTGGCCATGATGGCGATCATCGGAATGTTTTTCCAGGACGGCAGGACGCGTGGGGCGACTGGGCGCTCTACACTCTCACAGAGAGCGAGCTGGGCGTGCAGGACCCCGTGGGCTTCTGGGACCCGCTGGCTTCACGCGGATGGTAGCACGGAGAACTTCGCCCGGAGGCGCCAGACAGAGCTGAAGCACGGCCGCGTGAGTATGCTGGCGACGATGGGCTACATCACCCCAGAGATCACCGGCAAGCTGCCAGGGTACTTGTCGCCGTCCGCTGGCCTGAAGTTCGCGGACATCCCGAACGGGCTCGGGGCGATCTCCAAGGTTCCCGCGGCGGGCTGGGCGCAGATCGTGGCGTACGGCGCGTTCTGCGAGCTGTCCCAGGACCAGTCCGCTGGCACCGCTGCCGCGCAGGCGACTTCGGCTTCAAGGTGCTGACGTCCAGCGACGCCGGGGAGAAGCAGAAGAAGTTGGCGGCTGAGATCGCCAACGGTCGTCTGGCCATGATGGCGATCATCGGAATGTTTTTCCAGGACGGCTTGACTGGGTCCGCGTGGGGCGACTGGGCGCTCTACACCGGCTCTCCGCTGCGCGCGTTCGAGAGCGAGCTGGGCGTGCAGGACCCCGTGGGCTTCTGGGATCCCGCTGGCTTCACTGCGGATGGTAGCACGGAGAACTTCGCCCGGAGGCGCCAGACAGAGCTGAAGCACGGCCGCGTGTCTATGCTGGCGACGATGGGCTACATCACCCCAGAGATCACCGGCAAGCTGCCAGGGTACTTGTCGCCGTCTGCTGGCCTGAAGTTCGCGGACATCCCGAATGGGCTCGGGGCGATCTCCAAGGTTCCCGCGGCGGGCTGGGCGCAGATCGTGGCGTACGGCGCGTTCTGCGAGCTGTCCAAGGACCAGTCCGCTGGCACCGCTGCCGCCGCAGGCGACTTCGGCTTCAAGGTGCTGACGTCAAGTGACGCCGGGGAGAAGCAGAAGAAGTTGGCGGCTGAGATCGCCAACGGTCGTCTGGCCATGATGGCGATCATCGGAATGTTTTTCCAGGACGGGGTGAAGCTGTCCCTCTACGAGGTGCCCCGAGGAACTCAGAGCAGTGCAGATGAGGAGAGGAGGATAGCAGAGCAGGAGGAGGTGGCGGCGGAGGAGCAGGAAGGTGTGTTGCACGCTACGGCCCAGGAGGCCGTTGCGCTCTGAGGGCTGAACGCAGCGCCATGCAAGGCCCCCCAGTGGGGCACCGCCTGTGCGGGGTGGTAGCGGCGGAGGCTGCCCCCACAGTAAACAACTCCGCCGCCCGCCAGCGAACCGACCCTCACGCGAGGGGGGGCTGGCACATTGTGAACTATTGTGAGTCTAGCGCACGGACTCGGCGACGTCGGAGGCACTCGTGGGTCCGCAGGCCTGCCAGGAGGTGCCGCCAGATCAGCCTCGCCGCCATCTCCGAGCTAAAGGTTGCCAATCTGAACGTCCAGGGGCTCAACTGGACCGCCCACGATCACCGCTTCAAGATGAAGAGCCTCATTGACGAGGCCCGGCGGGGGCAGTGGCACGTCGCTTGGCTGTCCGAGCTGCACTCCCCGGATGCCTTGGCCGTGGTGGCTGTGGAGGAGTACGTGTTGGTGGCAGGGCGTCGCAGCGGCTTCTTGCTCAGCCCGGTCGGGTTGCAGGCGTGGGAGGCGGGCGGCTGGCAGCACGAGAGCCACGGGGACCGCATCTGCCGGATGGTGCTTGAGCTCCGCGGCCAGAGGATCCAGGCGCTCTCGGCATACTGGCCCACACAGGGTCAAACTGAGGAGCGAGCTGATGTCTGGGAGACCGCTTCTTCTTTGGCGGCACACTTGCCGCGGCGGCATTGGCAGTGGTGGGGTGGAGACTTCAACTCTCACATCGGCCGCCAGGTGGGGCCAGTCCCAGACAGAGAGGGGCCACACAAGCTCGACACCCCCACGACCACCGGAGGAGGCGAGCTGAGGCTCTTCATGCGGGATGCGGGTCTGCACCTGGCCGACTCGCTGCAGAGGGTCCACAAGCGAGGCACCTGGTGGCACGCCCAGAGAGGCCGATGGTACGAAAATGACGTGTGGGTCGCGTCTGAGCCTGTGGCCAAGCGGCTCCACGGCTTCACCACCTTTGCGACGCCGATCTCCGACCACCGGGGCAAAGTGGCCCGCCTCACCCTCGCCACCGCCCTCAGCAAGAGGGAGCGGCAGCTGCTAGCGCGCCCAGCTCGGGATGCCAAGCCCGCCCCCCGCATCGCGGTGGAGCACATGTCTGGCCGGGCCCCGGAGGCTCGTCAGCGCTGGGCGCGGTACCAGGAGGCGGCAGAAGCAGCGTCCGCCGCGACGGAGCCACCGGACACGGAGCCCGATTCGTGGTCCACGCTGGCGGCGGGCCTCTCCCAGGCAGCTGCGGAGGTCTGCGGCCGCAAGCCGGAGCGCATCGGCCTGCCCTTCCTGGCGGGACACGCAGAGGAGGCCGAGAAACGAATGGCAGAGCTGCAGCGGTCGTGGGCGGCACTGTGTGACATGCGCGGCAAGGCGGGGGAGCACCAGTACAGGAAGGAGTACAATGATGCATCTCACGCCTTCCGCCGGGTCAAGCGGCGGTGGAAGGCAGAATGGGTGGATTCTATATGTCAGGAGCTGACGGTGGCGTCGGAGCGGCACGACGAGGGCCGGTTCTACCGAGGACTGAGAGCCCTGGGTGTGGACCTCGCCAGTTGGTCTCGCAAGGGCCAGGTCGATTTCACAGCGGAGCAGGGACGCACACATTGCTACAATATCGGGAGGGAGCCCAACGTCGTCGACGACGAGGTGCTCGCACGGCTTCCTCCTCCGCGCCCTGCCCGGCCAGACCTGGACGACGTCCCAGACGAGGCAGAGTGCTTCCAGAGATTCAAGGAGATGAAGGATTCAGCTGGGGGCAAGGACGAGGTCCGCAAACTCTTGGCCAACGCCGGGCCGGTCACCCGCCGGCGCCTTTTCAGACTGGTCCGCCAGCTCTGGCAGCAACCAGTGGCGGAGTGGGAGGCATCGGTGCACTCGGGCGTGGTGTTTCTGCTGTACAAGAACAAGGGCAGCCGCACCGACCTGGACAACTACAGGGGGATCTGCTTGTTGTCCTTCCTGAGCAGGCTTGTGGCTCGGATTATGGCTTGCCGTCTTCGTGATTATGCTGAAACCCTCGACATCTTTTTGCCGGAGGCTTGGGGCTTCCGCCCGTACCGGTGCACTTGCGACGAGATCTTCCTCGTGCGTCGGCTCATCGACCTCGCTGTGGCGCCGGGCGGCGACTACGCCGGGGACGGGCTGGGCATTGAGTTGGCGGACATCAAGAAGGCGTACCCCAACGTGAGCCGACAGGTGTTCCGCAAAGTCATGCTGAACGAGGGCGTCCCCGGGAGGATGGTCGACCGTCTCTGCGGCCTGCACTCGAACACCACCTACCAGGTGCGGACCCGCTTGGGCTTCTCCGAGCCCTACCGGCTGGCGCGGGGCTTCCGGGAAGGGTGCCCCAGCTCTTGCGTGTGCTTTAACTACGTGCACAACAGTGTGGTCCGGGACTACCGGCGGGCCGCCCGAGCAGAGCTCCCTCCGGAAAGCAGAGTCCACTGCACGGTGCACGCTGACGCGGGCTGGCACGGGCTGACGGGGGAACGAGCGCAGGCGGCGCGAGCCGGGGCGGAAGCAGCAGGCCAGACTCTCGACTTGGACCAGGTGATCTTCGCCGACGACACTGGCACAGTGGGCCGCTTCTCGGCCCAACCCGCTCGGAAGGCACTCTTGACCAGGATTTTCGCCGACTGGGGGGCCACCATCCACCCGGGTAAGTGGCAGTGTCTCTGCGTCACGCCGCGGGACGACCCCACGCCGGAGGGCTGCGTGTCCGACGCGGAGCTGCTGGGCGCCTGGCTGAACGAGCGGGGCGACAACACCAGGGACACGAAGGAGCGGATCGAGGCCGCGAGGCAGGTCTGGCGCAAACTCCACCGACAGCTTCCACAGCTGCACCTCTCTCTGACGCTCAAGGGCCGGGTGGCGCGGGCATCTGTAGAGGAGTCATTGCTCTACGCCACCGAGACACGCTGCGTCAGCGCTGGTGAGCTCGACGTCATGCAGAAATTCATGAACCGCGTGATTCGGGGGCTTGCTCTGGGACACCGTGGACTCGCTCGAGGCCTCCGGGAGATGAAGGGGCGCTTCACGCAGACCGACCTCCGCCTGGCACTGGGCCTTCACACAGTGCGCGTGCAGCACGGCAGGCGCCTTCTCCGCTACTTGGGGCACCTCGCCCGGCTACCGCCCGAGCGCCTGGAGCGTCAATCCCTGTTCGCGTGCCTGTGGCCCGAGGCCGGCAGCACGAGGCCTGGGCACCGGCTCACGTACAAGAAACAGGCTTGGACCCTACTGAAGGCGTTGATGCAGCTCTCCGGGCGCCCTCCCGCGGACTGGATTGAGGTGGCACAGGAGAACGGCGGCAGCACTTGGAAAGACCTGATCGCCCGGTGGGTGGAACAGCAGGCGGCAGTGGACGACCGCGACACTCACGCTCGCCGGCACGCCAACGATGCCCCACCAGTGCCGAGCCGCCGGATACGGGGGAAGCAGCGGCCGCCTCACCGGCCGGCGCCAGAGCCGAAGCCCCCCGCGCGCCGTCGGCAGCAGCGCTCCTGGACCTGCCCCAGCTGCGGTTCCACCATGACAGAGGGGTCGCGGGTGAACCACCAGGCTCTCTACTGCCCTATGAGAGGCGCCCGGCCCCAAGCCACACGACGAACCAAGAGGGTTCGAGCGGCCCCGCCCTTGCCGCGAGAGGCCGGGGCGGAGAGGGGCGGAGAAGGAGGCAGCGGCGGAGGGCGCGAGGAGGAAGAGGAGGCGGCGGAGGAGGCGGAGGAGGCGCAGGCAGCAGCCAGCAGCGGCGGAGGGCGCGAGGAGGAGGAGGAGGCGGCGGAGGAGGCGGAGGAGGCGCAGGCAGCAGCCAGCAGCAGCAGCGGACGGGGCGGGAGGGGAGGCGGTGCGGGTGTGCGGAGACGCCCGGCGGCAGATCAGCCGGCCCGCCGTCGCCCGGCAGCAGTGCCCGAGGGTGAAGAAGATCCGCCGCCCCCGCCGCCCCCGCCACCGCAGGCCCCAGGCCTTCCCGACATCTTCACTCGTCGCCCTCGTCATGGATGGGTGGGCCGGGCAGCGTTGGCAGTGTTGGAAGAGGAAGTCCGGGCGTGCCCACCGCCGCCGGAGTCAGTAGCCCGGGGCTGCAATGGGAACTGCAAACAGTGTTGTCAGTGCGTGGCTTGTCGTCGATTCTCGGCCTGCTTTGGGCGGTGTGCCAAGTGCGCGGCCTGCGCCAAGTGCCGGCACGCCCATGAAGGGGGCCAGGCCCGCCCGCTGAAATGTAATTTCCGAGCATTGGTTGAGTGCCCATATTGTCATGAGTGGAAGGATTCAGCACATCCGATCAAGTGCGTGGCCGCACCGTATGACTTTTGGCAGGAGAATTGTCAGAGACGCTATTATGCACAGTTCCCAGAGAGCGAGCGGGCACATTGGAATATACAATGCCAACACTGCTCCATGCGTTTCCCATCACATTTGTCCCGGTCGCACCATTTGGCTCAGTGCGAGCAGCGACGGGTGCGGGCAGGGCTTCCTCTCAACCAGCATCCGGCGGTAGTGCGGGCGCCCTGATGCAGGCGCTGGCGGCGGCCCGCGCCGCGGCGGCAGCTCCCCCAGCGGCGGGAGGCCCGCCTGCGCCAGGTGTCGCCCCGCCTGCGGGTGCGGCCGGGGATGCGGAGCTGCTCCGGCAGGTCGCTGCCTTGGCCCTGGCGCACGACCGCGCCCTGCAGATGCACGACGACCGCGTCTCCTGGGTGTTCGTGGTGTACAACGAGGGGGTCCAGAGCGAGATCGTGCAGCTCCGGACGCAGTGGCGCGACAGCACCCCGGAGCCAGGGACGACGCACCCGATGGGCAGCCAGCGGGCGCTCATCCACGCCTGCCTGCTCGACCACGTGGTGTCCGAGCTGCCCGAGGGCGAGGACAGAGTCGTGGCCACGAGGCTCCGGGATGCCCCGCCGGAGGCCCTGGACCGCTGCGTCTTCCGCCTCCGCCCGCGGTACCCGGACCCGGCTCCGGGCTACCCGTGGGCGTGGATCCTCGTCGTGGGCCCGGCTGTGGACCCAGAGTACGTGGCGGGCCTCCAGCGCCTCTCCGCCGCGACGCTGGACGGTGTCCGGGTCATGCGTCACCGGTCCCAGGACGGCCCCCTGGCCGACGGGATCCGGGCGCACCTGGGCAAGGCCAAGGGCAAGGGCCGCAGGGGCAGGGGCAAGGGCAAAGGCAAAGGCGGCGGCGGCGGAGGAGGCGGCAAGGGCGCCGGCGGCGGAGGAGGTGGCGGCGGAGGCGGCGGTGCCGCCCCGCCGGCGGCTGGAGGCGGCGCCCTTCCGGCAGCTGGCGGCGGCGGCGGAGGCGGCGGCGGCGCCCCTCCGGCGGCCGCGGCGCCGGCGCCTGGCGGCGGCCCCCCGGCGGCCGCGCCGCAGCAGCAGGCCATGGGCCCGGACGCCGTCATGGTGCCGGCCGGCCGCCGGGGCGCCGAGGCCCCGCCCCCGGGGGCGCCCGCGGCCTCAGCCCCGCGGCGCGGCGGCCGCTGAGGCGGCGGCGTCGTCGCGGCCGTGTGCAGACTCACACGGCTCACACCCTCCGGCCGGCATTCCTCGGCGCTCTCGGGCGCGCTGGCCGGAGGGTCGGCCCCCCTCGGGGGGAGGCGGGCCGCCGGCCAGCCCTCGGGCACACGGCGCGCGGCCCGCCCACGGCGACCCCCCCTCCGAGAGGAGGCCGAGCGAGGAGGAGGAGGAGGAGGCAGGCAGCAGGAGAGAGGAGGCGGCAGTTTTGAGGATGAAGGGGGCCCGGGCCGCAGGAGCTGCGGAGAGGACGGCGGAGGCGGCGAGGGAGGCGGCGGTAGTTTTGAGGAGGACGAGGGCCCTGGCAGACCATAAGCCCAGGAGGGAGGTGGAGGAGGCGAGGCCGCGTCAGCCCAGGAGGGAGGTGGAGGGGGCGAGGCCGCGGAGGGAGGAGGAGGCAGTTTTGCAGGGAAAGGGGGCCCTGGCAGACCATAAGCCCAGGAGGAACGAGGCGGAGGAGGTGAGGGCGAGGAGGAAGAGGAGGCGGGCGAGGGAGGAGGAGGCAGCTCCGGGACGGCAGGGGGCCCATCCAGCCGCAGCAGCGAGGAGGAGGAGGGAGGAGGCGCTGCCAGAGGTCACGTCGGCCTGGCGGCCTGGCAGCTCCTCGTGGGCACTGATGCCACCACACATGTTTTTCCAGGACGGCTTGACTGGCTCCGCCTGGGGCGACTGGGCACTCTACACGGGCTCTCCGCTGCGCGCGTTCGAGAGCGAGCTTGGAGTGCAAGCCCCCGTGGGCTTCTGGGACCCTGCTGGCCTCTCGAAGGACGGTGATGCTGCAGCCTTCAAGCGCCGACGCTCCACGGAGATAAAGCATGGCCGCGTGTCGATGCTGGCTGCGATGGGCTACATCACGCCCGAGGTCGCTGGCAAGTTCCCAGGGTACCTCAGCCCGTCCAAGGGCCTCGCTTTCGAGGATATCCCGAATGGCCTTGCAGCCGTCTCCAAGGTACCTTTCCTCGGGTGGCTTCAGATCGTCATTTACTGCCTGTACGTCGAGGCGTCTGGCCTCGGCTTCAACTACATCGGCACTGAGCAGACGCCCGGCGACGTGGGCTGGAGGCCGCCCCTGCTCTCTGGCTTTGACGGCGAGGCGAAGACAAAGAAGCTGAATGCGGAGATCGCCAACGGCAGGCTGGCGATGGTGGCGATCATCGGGATGTTTTTTCAGGATGGCCTGACTGGCAGCGCGTGGGGCGACTGGGCGCTCTACACGGACTCGCCGCTGCGCGCATTCGAGAGCGAGCTGGGCGTGCAGGCGCCGTTGGGCTTCTGGGATCCCCTGGGGCTCTCGGCTGATGGCGACGTGAAGTCCTTCAAGCGCCGCCGCTCCGTGGAGATTAAGCACGGTAGAATCTGCATGATGGCGACCATGGGTTACATTACGCCAGAGGTTGCTGGAAAGTGGCCGGGTTACATCAGTAAGTCCGAAGGGTTGAAGTTCGCCGACATCCCGAACGGCTTGGCGGCCATCTCCAAGGTGCCGGGACTGGGCTGGCTGCAGATCGCCTCGTGGTTTGCCTTCTGTGAGATCCAGCAGGGCTACGACGCGGATGTCAAGACCGAGCCAGGCAATGTGGGGTGGAAGCCTCCTCTGCTGGCTTCCGCCGACCCCGAGACACGGAAGCGCAGGCTGAACGCTGAGATCGCCAACGGTCGCCTGGCCATGATGGCGATCATCGGCATGTTTTTCCAGGACGGCTTGACCGGCTCCGCGTGGGGCGACTGGGCCAACTACACGGACTCGCCGCTGCGGGCGTTCGAGAGCGAGCTTGGCGTGCAGGCTCCCGTCGGCTTCTGGGATCCGATCGGCTACACCGCCGACGGTGACGAGTCCGCGTTCAAGCGCCGCCGGGCGACCGAGCTGAAGCACGGGCGCATCTCGATGCTGGCCACCATGGGCTACATCACGCCCGAGCTCGGGTTCAAGTTCTCGGGCTACCTGTCCCCCTCCATGGGGCTCAAGTTTGCGGACGTCCCCAATGGCCTGAAGGCCCTCTCCGTGGTGCCGGCACTCGGCTGGGCCCAGATCATCGCCTACATGGCGTTCTGCGAGGTGTCCCAGGACCAGAAGCCGGGCACCAAGGCCTGGGCGGGCGACTTCGGCTTCAAGGTACTCACGTCCGACGACCCGGAGACGCTGAAAAAGAAGCTCTCGGCGGAAATCGCGAACGGCCGTTTGGCCATGATGGCGATCATCGGCATGTTTTTCCAGGACGGCTTGACTGGGTCTCCCTGGGGCGACTGGGCCAACTACACGGACTCGCCGCTGCGCGCGTTCGAGAATGAGCTTGGCGTGCAGCCGCCGACTGGATTCTGGGACCCTGCGGGCTTCACGAAGGATGGCGATGCGGATGCATTCAAGCGCCGCCGTTGTGTCGAGATCAGGCATGGCCGCATCTGTATGCTGGCGACGATGGGCTACATCACCCCAGAGATAACCGGGAAATTTCCAGGGTACCTGTCCTTGGACGAGCAGATCCTCTTTCAGGATGTCCCGAACGGTCTTGCAGCCCTCTCCAAGATCCCTGTCGGTGGATATCTTCAGATCCTCGCGTACTGCGGTTATTGTGAGTTCAGCGGCACTGGGGTGAAAGACGGTATCTTTTACGCTGGTAGCAGCGGTGCGCTGAAAGATGGCGAGGCGGAGCCGGGCAACGTTGGTTGGAAGCCTCCTCTGCTCACCAGCTCAGACCCTGAGGTCCGCAAACGCAGGCTTAACGCTGAGATCGCCAACGGCCGCCTGGCCATGATGGCGATCATCGGCATGTTTTTCCAGGACGGCTTGACCGGCTCTGCCTGGGGCGACTGGGCGAACTACACGGACTCGCCGCTGCGCGCGTTCGAGAACGAGCTCGGAGTGCAGCCGCCCGCAGGCTTCTGGGACCCTGCGGGTTTCACCGCCGATGGCAGTTCGGAGGATTTTGCTCGGAGGCGCGCCACTGAGATCAAGCACGGCCGGATCTCCATGTTGGCGGCCATGGGCTACATCACCCCCGAGCTGATCGGGCCTTTCCCGGGTTACCTGTCCCCGCAGGCAGGCCTCAAGTTCGCGGACGTCCCGAACGGCCTCGGCGCCCTGTCCAAGGTGCCGCTCGGGGGCTGGGGCCAGATCTTCTTGTACTGCGCCTATGTGGAGATCTCCCAGGACCAGACGATCCCTGGCTCCCCCGCCTCCCGCGGAGAGTTCGGCTTCACGCTGCTGTCGTCGCCTGATCCCGCGGAGAAGCAGAAGAAGCTGGCTGCTGAGATCGCCAACGGCCGCCTGGCAATGATGGCGATCATCGGAATGTTTTTCCAGGACGGTTTGACTGGCTCCGCCTGGGGCGACTGGGCGCTCTACACCGGATCGCCGCTGCGCGCGTTCGAGAACGAGATCGGTGTCCAGGCTCCTGTCGGCTACTGGGACCCCATGGGTCTGAGCTCCGACGGGGACGTCGCCACCTTCAAGCGCCGCAGGACGACTGAGCTGAAGCACGGGCGCGTGTCCATGTGGGCGGCGATGGGCTACATCGCACCAGAGTACTTCAAGTGGCCCGGGTACTTGTCCCCCTCTGCAGGTCTGAAGTTCGAGGACGTCCCCAATGGACTGGCCGCCCTGTCGAAGGTGCCCCTGTCAGGCTGGCTGCAGATCGTGCTGTTCGCGGGCTACTGGGAATTCGGCACCTACAACAGCACGGCCCCTCCAGGCGACTTGGGCTGGAAGGCAATCACGTCCTCGGACCCAGAGGTTCTGAAGCGCAAGCTGAACGCAGAGATGGCCAACGGCCGCTTGGCCATGATGGCCATCATGGGTATGCTCTATCAGGACGGCTTGACCGGCTCCGCCTGGGGCGATTGGGACCTGTACACCGACTCTCCCTTGCGCTGAGCCATGCCGGGATGCCACAAGCTCGCCGTCATCATCGCACACCGCTTCCGCGTCGCTTCGCTACACTGCGTCTTCATCATCGCCGTCATCGTCCTGGTCGTCACCACTGCAATCATCGCAAGCACCGTCGTGGCCGTCCTCACAGCCATAGGCATTACTGCTCACTCCGTCGCTCCTGCGTGAACGCTCCCCGTCCCCACAGGAGACGGGGAGCAGGGGCAATCAGCGGGGCCTTCCAGGCCTGCCGATAGGCCCCTGAGTGCATCCGGGGGGGCCCCGGGGATTCAGGCAAGGGGCGTTGTCACAACTCTTCGGTCGCTTGATATCATTAACCAGCCTCGAACGTATCCCTATCCCTAAGGTTGACACGCCAAAAGGCGATGACAATCCTAGGGATTCGCCCTCAGAAGAGAAGGGAAACATAAGGGAATCCCTAAGAGTGTCATCGTGATAAGGAGATGCCCAACATAGGGATAGGGACATGTTCCAGGCTGGTAAAATCATACCCCCCGACCCTGCACCGCAGGGGGCCCCCTTCCTCCCCGACGGCCCGTGGCCCCGGCGCCTCTCCGCCCGCGGACGCCGGCTTCGCCCGTGGGCCGTGGCCCCCCTCGACTGCCTCGTTTCCCGCGCCAGCCCCGGTCCCCGGCTGGCCCCGGTGCTGCCCTCTGCCGGGCTCAAACATGCGGGGGCGGAAAAGAGGGGGGTGATGGCTAGGGGGGGGGGGTGGACATCATGGCGGGGGCCATGATATCTCCCCAGATTTCGTGGCGCCTCTTCTCGTTTTATTGCGTCCCTGGCCCCCCCGCTGGGCCGCGCACATGCCGCCGGTCATGATTTGCACCCCCCCCCTCTTGGACACCCCCCTCTTGGCCGCTCTCGAAACATGGGAAGACTCCGAACCGTGGTATCCCACGCCCGTTCCTGGCACTTCCGCGCTCTCTTGCTGGATCCTCAGAGGGGGGATGGATGACGTCACGTTTCGCGCCGGCGGCGTCTGGGAATGCTTAGGAATGGCCGAAGACGGCTAGCAGCAGCATGTCAACCGCGATCTGCACCACAGCGCCTGTGTACACCACAGTGCCTCCGTGCACCACAGCGCCTGTGCACATCACACCGCCTGTGTACACCACAGCAGCCGCGTGCACAGCGCCTGTGTACACCACGGCGCCTGTTTGCACCACAGCAACCGTGTCCAACAGCACCATTGTTGTATATATAATGTTTTAACCAGTCGTTGTGGCAAAGTAGAGCGCCTTATGACAGCATTGTGTTACATAGGATTTGTTCAGGAGTCCTTATGGAATCATGAACGCCGCTGGAATTTACGAGTCTTCCGAGTCCTCCCGCATTATCCTATTTCCTCCCATCTGCGTCCAGAGAGCTCCCGCAGAATTGGCCGTCCGAGAACCAAATGGACTGATTCAGTAGACCATTTTGCGGTGCACGCTGAGATGCGCACGTGCGCACTAGCGCCGAACCGCACGACGGGGGTAAGAGTGATGATGGTGATGATGCAGATGATGATGCTGATGCTAATGATGACGATCATGCTGCTGCTGATGATGATGATCATGGTGATGATGATGCTGCTGCTGACGATGATTATGATGATGAGGATGATGATGCTGATGATGATGATGCTGATGATGATGCTGATGATGATGCTGATGATGATGATGCTGATGATGATGATGATGGTGATGATGATGCTGCTGCTGATGATGATGATTATGATGATGAGGATGATGATGCTGATGATGATGATGCTGATGATGCTGATGCTGATGATGACGATGATGATGCTGATGATGATGACGATGGTGATGATGATGATGATGCTGCTGATGATGATGATTATGATGATGAGGATGATGATGCTGATGATGATGATGCTGATGATGATGCTGATGATGATG